AAGAAAGCACTCACTCACAGTCTCATTCACAAGAATCCCTGATTATTAGATCAAAAGAAAAGCATATGCAACTCTGTGTGTGTGCGTGTATTTGTGTGACACACACACAGACGAACTGATTCAATCGATTGAATTTTGTGTACAATAAAGAGTCAAGTAGTTGATGGTGGTGATGTCGGCGAAACAGGATCATCTTGTCCTTCTGCTGTTGAAGCAGCATTATACAATGGAGTAGCTGAATCTGGTTCATCTGAATTCGATCCTAATTCAGAAGTGACAATCGATAGATTTGATAAGGTCGGTGGTAACTGATGAGACAGGTAGACTGAATCTTCATTATTATTGTTATCCTCATTGGTGATCATCTGATGAGTGTTCAGTAAAGTATTATTATGCCTAGATGAGATTTCATCAATTGTATTTGAAACAATATCATCAGTCAGACTATGCTCAAGTGTAGTATGATGAGTAGTTTGAGTTTCTACACCTAATGAAGAGGATACATTGGTCCCCACCGGCAGCAGCAGCAGTCACCAGAGGATCTGTTCCAGATGTTCTTGACTGTCCATTGAAATTTGAATGAGCAACTAAATGCGGTGGCAACGGGTCGATTACAGCTTGTTCTAATCCACTTGTTAAATCACTCACCGATTTACTTTTCACACACTGAAAATCAACATGTCTCGACTTATTCTCCTCTTCTTCCCATGACATACGTAGAAATGGACACTGGACATAATTGTAAATAGCTTCAGGTCGACCACCAGGACGAAATTTCACTCGATCTTTACACGTTGGATAACCTTCAATACCGATACGAATTTTTTTCAAACTACGCTCCAATAGGACTTGTTTAGCCACTTCACGATTCTCGATATACTTTAAAAATCGAAACATTTGTGTACTATAGATAATATGTGAGTTTAATTCATTCTCTGGCATTTGTGGAGGATATTCAGGATCCCAGTCGATAATTTCATCATCTGTTACAATGACAATATGACATTCCCGTTCACCTAGTTGTGTGCATTTAATCAATAAGTTGAGAATATGTGTTTCAAGAAATTGTCCAAATATAATATGTGCACCATCATTAGATAATTCATGTAGAAATGCACGTAGATTTTCACAATGTACAGTTTGTTGATTGAATGGTATGAGAAAGTAATCACAGGCTTCTTTTAACTCTTGTACTGATACACCTGGTGGACATATCATCCGACCAATTAAATAATAATCGAGTAGTGTACGAAATACTTGAGCGGAGATATTTGAATCTTGAGCAATTGATATATCAGGTGGATGATGCATTTGATAAGGAGTATTATAACTCTGATGGTTATGATGATGAGGATGCTGATGCTGATGATGGTAACGATGAACTGTTGACGATGAAGACGAGGAATGATTTGTATTGAACACTCCACCTGATGTTGTTGTTGTTGTTGTCGCAACAGAGGCAGCAGTAGATGTATTTGTAGTTGGCTGAGATTTTCGATCACTCGGTGGACTACTTTCAATTGATGTTGACTGACAATAACTACTGGAGCCACCGCAACCGCCACCACTCCCACTCCCACAGACAGGACCTGGTGGATAATCATATAAATATTTTGTCTCTAAAAATTGTGAATTAAACATACGACCGAGCATTGTATTCGGATGGGCTTGTAGTAAATCCAAATCGATTAAAAAGCGTACACCATCTACAAGAAGGCTAACACGTCGACGATTCGTTGGTCCATTGGATGACTGTCTTGTACTACTAGAAATGAAATGGAGAAAATAGAAATAAGAAATTAAGTAATGATTACAGTTATAGTACTATTGGACGGATGTTCTGTCAGCCTAGCTTGGGACATCCCCTTGTGGTGGGGGGGACGGGTTCGAACCCAAGAGATCCCAGTTACAAGAGAAGCTCAACAACCATTCAGGCATTGGGATCCGATCTAATGCCTCATGAATTCTAACTTTTATCAATTTGTGATTTTATTTTATTATAGCTTGACTCCACACTGTATTTTTGATACAAGTATGAAATTTTTAGCATGTGATATCGGTAACCCAAATTTCGCAGGCCGACCATTGACACCGGGTGCGCGTCGGCCGGGGATTCAACCCCAGACCATGTGCATGGTCGGCTAGCGTCCTAACCGCTATGCCACCGACATCCAGATTTTATATGCGAAGAACTTATTAGATGAAGCATCGATGTTGACATTCCAGTATTTTCTATGGAGGAATTTCTCCTGGCATGCCTAATGAATGCCTATTTCTTTTATTGAATAAGGAATTCTACAAACAACTTGATGGTGTGACTGCCTTATGTGGAGTCACCACTAGGTTCAACTCTCAGCATATGATACAGGACCTTCGAGAGGTGTAAATGAAGTACAATCATGTTGTCGTTACAAGGATGAAACAGTTTTGATTATGATAAATGAGAATGAAGCAAACATCATTGGCAGATTTAATGATGTACCTCGTGGGATAAATTTTATTACAGAGAAAGAAATAAATGACAATAATCCCATCCCTAGACATTCAGATGACTAAGAAAGGGGACTATAACATAAAGATGTATATATATATATATATTCCTTTTTAGTATTACGAACATGTGGTGGTACTATCACTACCAATAGTAGAATACTCACCAATCACTCACGTGGTCCGGTCGGTGACCGACGCACTCCTAAACCCCGCTTAGCCGACAGTAGTCTCAACAAAGAGGGAATGAATAAAATGATACTCAGCCGTATATCACGTGCATGTCACGGATGTGACATGAATTGACAAAGCCCACATGAGCCTATTGTATCCATCATGAAATTTAGTTAGTCATCAATCAGTCCTTTTGGGATCGATCAAATCTCCCAGATAAGTGAAATGGTCGGTCAACACGTTCAACCAATTCACTTCATTCCCTGTCCTTTAAATTAGGCGTCGGAGCAGTAGGTCAATTCTGCATTATCATCTTATATTTGACACAGGTAAATCACTTGCCAAACATTTGAAAAGATTTCTACTCAATGGTGTTCAAATAACTCTGCATTTTTGTCAGTGTTTTCACCTACATGGGCCAAATCATCTGTGTAGTCTAAGTCGACAAGACTATTAATCGGGTAACAAGTCAATGCCTAAGTTGCCAACTATGAGAACAAGACTTCAAAGTGAAAGAAAAGCACATGGAGTGATTCTTTAAGATAATTAACTACTTCGATTCAAGTCTCGAAGGCACAGTATCTTGCACAATCCTCATGAAACAACACAATCGAATAAGAAAGCGTATATCTGATAATAAATACATATAAGCATTTTACGAGTTGATCACGGACTGACTGATATCAATTAGAGAAGCATTGAAAACCAGCTGGGGGAGGGGGAGTAGTGGACGGCCAGCTGTTTCATCAGTCTAGTTTGGGAATCATCGGCAGTAATTATTCACCACAATGCCAGGGTTCAAACCAAGGACCTTCTGGTTACAAGGCCAGCTAGCTGGCTCGTATATCATTCAGCCACTGGTCAGCGCATGAATTCTAACTTCTACCAATTCGCGATGCATTTAGCACGACCCTAACAGATGTCGTTAGTGGGACATCTATCCATCCTCGCACTTGACTGAATGGGTTCTAAACCCCAATGGGTGCGTACTGCCGATGATTCCCAAACTAGGCTGGTGAAACAGCTGACTGTCCAGTACCTGCCAGCCCCCAGCTGGTTTTCTCTAACTGATTGACATCAATCCGTGCGTCGTCAAACCAACTATAGAAAACATGTAAGCACACTTACTTGATAGGTGATGCCAAGTTCACTTCACAGAATGGTAATGATGATAACGAGTAGCGTCGTTGTTGTTCACTATTTGTTGACTGGAATAAACCTCCACCATTTTGTTGTTGACTTCCACCAGTATGATAATGACTATCAACTGTTTGCTGGTGATGATGATGCTGCTGATGACAACCACCACCGCCGACAACACTGTTATGCATAGGACGTGGATAGAATAATTTCGATTGACAAGAGGATGCTGCTGCTGGTCCTCCTGATGGAAGAGGTTGTGATAGTGGTGGAGCAGGAGTAGACGGAGGCGGAGGAGAGGATGACGACAAGGTGAAATCGAAACCAGTATCATCATAATATTCTCCTCGAGCAGAATTTATTAAACTACAACCACTACAACCACCACTGATACTACTGCCACTGCAAGCACCAGTTATGTTATTAGTATTATTATTATGTCCATAGTAATGATCTGATTGATAATTTAATCTAACTGAACTTGAACACGACTCAGGTGGAGAATCACAATAAACATTATTATTACTATTATTATTGTTATTTGTTAATGAATGTACACGATTTGTATGATGTGACAAATGGTTAGATTTATGCATTTGATCAGAGATAGATGAACCTCCTCCTGTTGTTGTTATTCCAGAGGATGATGATGTTTGATGATAAGCACTGATAGCCGATGAACGTCGACCAGACGACTGTGTACATGATGATGGTGTAGTGAAATTGTGGCAGTTATTCTCATGATGATTAGGATAAGCAGTAAATATACATGGAATGTTAGATGCATTTGATCGTGCACCCTGTGATCCATTGGAAGTGTGTCGATTAGAATGGACTGGTCTAACTGAAGTTGTGGTATTGGTTGTAGTAGTAGTACAACTAGTAGATGATGTAATCAGATTATCAGATAGAAGACAATTCATCATCATCACATGACTATCACTCAGAATACTGATTCTTCTTTGTCCTTCATCATCATCAACTTCTCCTTCCTGACCTTCTGTCTCCTCATTTTCATTATTCATAGGTAATGATGCCGGTGTCACCACCTCTGACAACGTATTATTATTATTGTTATTGATTAAATCACCCGGCGGGATATCAATTAATGAATACCTACACTTAAAATCTGCTACTCCAGAACAACAATTACACGACGAAGATGTAGAATAACGATGATTTGTGATGAGTGATGCCTCATTATCATTTGTCGTTGAATGCCGATGTTGATGATAGGCGTGGGTATGGTCGTGGTGATAACAGTGTTGATTTAGGTTATTATTATTACACAATAAAGCTGATGTACTACCATTACAACAACTATTATTATTAGTAGTACTGACACAGGACCGATCAATCGCTGTTTGTCTTTGTAGATTTTGTGTCGTTGTTGTTCCTATTGTAGCCGTACCAGTGGGCATACTTGTCAGTGGATTCGATGAGTTATCTAAAATTCGTACACGATTTCGTTTATGTCGTGTTATACTACTAGGCTTAGCACTACTACTACTATTTTCATTTGTCCAATCAGAAATAGCAAGATGATTAGTGAAATTTATTGATGAATTCCTTGATCGATAGTGATGATGATGATTATCGACACCATCAACGTCATCGGCGTCGGCGTCATCATCAATGATTGACAAGTGATCAGTTGTATCTGTACCCATACTATTTGTCCGTCGTTGAGGATGATCATGGTGTTGGTGGTGATGATGATGATGCAGTCGATTCCGACGACGTCTTTTGTCACGTTTACTGGTATTACTATTATTATTAGTAGTAGCAGTAGTTGGTGGTGGTGTTGCAGTAGCCGTGGTAGTATTATTGTTCTTTTTATTCCTAATATTATTGTTTTTGTTACAAGTATGATTAAGTTTAACAGAGGATGAAGAACACGATGCACCATATCCACTTTCACCATCCACTTCATCCGCTGCTTCTTCTCCTTCTGCTCCTTCTTGTTGTTGTTGATGACGACCACGGTGATGATGATGGCGTTGGCATTTATTACCATGATCATCTTCAACATCATTATAATACTCTCCGTCAACATTCATATCTTCATTAACTCGACCTTCGTCTTCAATGCCTTCCTCGTCGTCCTCGTCTGCGCCTTCTTCATCTTCATCATCCTCTTCTTCATCAGCTTCGCCTTCTCCGTCGTCGTCATTATCCTCGTCATCATCATCATCGGGATTCTCTTCATCAGACAGATAACTAGGTGAGAAATGAGATGATGAAGCAGTCGATGTATTCGTTATTGATCTTAACAGACTATGGTGTTGATGTTGGTGATGATGGCGTAGAGCAGCGACAACAGCTTGAGCTAAAGGCGGTGCAGGAGAATCAGGTGGGCTAATAATATCACCATCATATCACATCATCATGATGATGATTAGTGTTCAATTGATCGTTGAGATTATTTCCACCATTACAATTATTATTCATCAATAGACTATGGATGATATTCTAGGAAAGAAATTTTCATGAAAAAAAAAAAACAGAAACAATAATCAGAATAATACTAATATCAAGTCGGATACATTTTACAAAATAATAATAATAATAATATATTCTCACTTTTGAATAAGAGGGACACCAGTTTACAGGTATCATCAATATGATAAATTACATATTTTATTTTTTATTTTTGTTATTACAGCTTGATTCCACACCGTATATTTTTTTGGTACAGGTATGGAATTTTCAGCATGTGATATCGGTAGCTCAAATTTTGCAGGCCGACTATAGATATCAGGTGTGCGTTGGCAGGGGATCGAACCCCGGACCATGTGCATGGTTGGTGAGAGTCCTAACCAATGTGCCACCGACGCAGAGGTATTCAAATACTAATATCGGCTTTCGTATTCACAATCTTGACACAATTTTGTAGTGTCAAGCATGTCGAGTGTAGTGCTTGTCTGATGATATTTTGATTTTCATCAAAGGGGATCAAGGTAAATTGTGATTTGAAAAAATGATTATTTTGGAAAAGATATGATTCCATCTGTTGAAAATTATTATTTTCTTTATATCTTGTCATTGAAATGACTGTAACGAGAATTTCGGAGTTGTCCCTTATTATTAGTCTAGGCGTTCGACTTCCAACCAATGGACGACAAGTCTGAATCCCACTTCCCTTTCCACCTACCAAGGTTTGGACAGACAGGTAATATACCATTAGCCTTCGTACGCACATTAAGTGTGGCTTATTGCCAACTGAGCATAGAATTGCAAATGGTTGTTCAGTAAGATTTCAGTCATTTTTATTCAACACTGTTATTACTATTTTATTATTTAAAACACAAAACCTGATACAGTATGGCACCGAGAAGATAATAAAACGACATATGAGAAAAAATAAGGTAAAGAACTAATACAGAATTTTATCTGGGAAGAAAACAGTCATATTTGACAAGACCAAACAGCATTCGTCGAACAATTATCAGAAAGGGAAGGAAGAAGGAAATTGCAGCACTCCGTCATTGATGATTGAGATTCGTGGTCATATCCGATAATGTTCCGAGCCGGCGATTCGAGCTACCTATCGAACCCCACAATGTCACGTCATGGGCTGACCAACCATCTCTCCGCTTTTTCCATCTCATACCAGGGTTGGCCAGCGAACAAAGGCCGGTATGGAAGTCTCTGGAATGACAGTCGTAGCACATGTTTAAGCCACCAGAGGCGGTGTTTCCAGATGACGACACTCAATGAATGATGATCTCCACTGAGTCCAAACACACGCCACTGGACCCCAAAGTTACTCACGTGATGATACCATAAAAGGTAAGCAATTCTACGGAGACGGCGATGATCGAATACGCAAAGTCGCCGCACATCCTAAGCTCAGAGAGGCGTCGAGGACGACAGTGCGTACCACAGCATTGTAAATCTGGCCTTTGACAGCCAGGCTAACGTCGCGATAGCGCCAAGAGTTTCAAATTTCAACAATATTTCTCTCAATGTAGCGCATACTTGTACTTATATAAGAAGGAGGTTTATTGAATCCTTGTTGGTGGCTCAGTGGCAGAATGCTCGCCAACCACGCCTCAATATGGCCCGGGGTTCGACTCCCCACCGATTCGTTTCTAAACCTCGCTTAGCCGATACTAAGCCAGATGGAGAGGGGAGGTTCGTTGTGGGGATAGCAACCCTACCCAGTAAAAACGTTACTACAGCTTGAGGCCCTATGTTCTAATCAGAGTACACAGAAATGAAGTAAAAAAAATTTGGGATTATTAAAAAGAAGACGAATAAATCTGGTTAGAAAAGAAAACTCACATTATTCATAGCATTGATAGCATCAACTGACGGTGGGGGACTACAAGATTGACTTCCACGCTTATCCAGGAATTCCATATGTGAATGTCTACGCCTTGTGCCTAATACAACACTTGCAGATGGTGTATAGCTTATCGAAGATGGTGGTGAAGAGAAACTAACCGGTTTACACTTGGAATAGACAACTTTATTGACGTTATGCGTAATTGTCTCACTTGAACAGGCTGTATTCGATTCACATGAAGAAATCTCACAGACTGTTTGTTGAAATCCACTAGAACTAGAGAATTTCAAGTGATGATTATTTGTTGTAGGTGGTCTGGGGCCAGCTGAACTAGATGGTCGTAGGACTAGACAGGGTTTAACAGCAGTACGATAATGAGTTGGATCTGATTCTTGATCACAAATTGCATTCAATGGTCTTGAAACACAACCGGTACTGTGACTTCGACCACGACCAGAAGGAGACTGATCAGATCTGTTGTGAATAAACAGTGATAGAAAATCTATTAGTTAGCTAAATATGCATAACTATTAGTGGATTAATAAAAATCTTTTAAACTTGAATAAGCAAACACCAGAATGCAGGACATGGATTATGAATCTTATGAAGTAAACTAATGATACATTTTCAAGTCTTATTTTGCAAGGATTTGACTGATTTCAAGATTGATGACGAAGTGACTTCAATTAGAGAACCACTGGAAACTGGGGGAATACTGCACAGTTGCTTCGTCTTTAATCGGTGCTCTTCAGCGCCACACACCAACGACCCCACCGGAGAGGGGGCTGAAAATCAGTCTGGTGCTCATTAGTTACTGACCACAGGATGAAGTTGTCTGAAGCTATAGTATGAAGTCGTGGTCAATGGGTTCATCAAGTTGGGTGTGAGGACAAATACTCGCCAATGGTATGGACTGGCAACAACTAGTAGTGTCAGTCAGGGATGCCCACTATCCCCATTTCTATTCAATTTCATCATAGACGTACTAATTGACTTAACCCTAACTCACTTTAGAAACTCAGCGATTGACCTGTTGTTACCAGGGTACAATCTCGTTGACTTAGAACATGCAGATGATGTGGTTCTTCTAGGTGAGGACGCTGACAAAACAAAGCAGAGTCTTCTGAACACCTTGAGCTGCAATCTACGAATGTTTAGCATGCGATTCGCTCCCACCAAATGTAAGATGATGTTACAGGACTGGACTACACTGACTCACAGCTTAGAAATAGGGAGTGAACTGGTAGAGCACGTTGACCAATATATATATATATATATATATATATATATATATATATCGCGAATCGACAGAAGTTAGAATTAATGGATCATTAGAATGCGTCCCATTAGCTGAATAGTATACGAGCTCGTTTTGTAACCTGAGAGTCCTGGGTTCGATCGCTGGTGGGTGGGGTCACCGGTACCTAGTGGTGAAGAGTCCCAAACGAGAACGAAACAGCTGTTCAGCACTCCCTGGTTTCTAACTGAAGTTATTTCGTGATCAATCTTGTAATGGTAAATATGATGACTAGTGCAGTAAGAGTCAATGGAATGAGTCAGTTTCACCACAACAATCCACAAAAGAACCCAACACAATATATGTGCCACCTTGAAACGATAGTCAAGTTTACTTATTGGAATGATTTTTATGAACCATTATGATATGTTCAGGATGTGACTCACCACTTTTTGGCCAGTAAGTCACAGGTCCGACGCTCGCTCCGCCTAATTCAGCCTTGATAATTTAGTATTATGATCAGCCCTAACACGATACATGCGTGGCTCTTAGCCTGATACACGAGAAATATGTTCTGCGTAATTGTAAGGTAGGATGAAGAACGACAAGGTGAGAAGTAGTAGTAGTAGTTGACCTTAAGTTCACTTTTTAAAAAATCTAACAATAATTATCCCATATAATGATGAAATATGAAAGGAAATCATCCCACCAGTCGTAACGGTAGCGATGCTGGAAGTAGTTAGAAAAGATGAGTCCTTATATTCCTCAGAGTATCGCAGCCAGGATACAACAAAATTAAACTAGAATCATATATCTCTAAATGCACTATATGTGACCAACTTTAATAAACTGTTTCTTTGACTTTAAGATTATCCTTAAACATAGAAGTAGCTTTCCAGGTCGTGTGTAATCAATAATTGCAGTTGCCTTCTGATGACCAGACAAAAATTTTCGTCATTGCCTTTTAACTATTCTTCACTAACAATATTTTTTATTCATAATTTTATAGCTATGTGCTAAAGATTCCTATTAGGAGAAATAACATATTTAATCTCTTAAAACCACTTCCTGAATTATAGTTCTCAATTCTTTTAACCCATGTCATATTTCTTGGCAAGGTTCACTAAAATTCTGTTGTTTCAGATACACCACGTTAACTGTGTTGGTGAGATTAGCATAGGGAATCTAAGTATAGTTAATTGACCTCACGCAACCAGAATGGTGAGCGGAATGTATGCTTTGAGTATCTGAGAATTCAAGAGGTATATATTCAGTAGCTCTGTAGATATACAGGTAGATTAACCTACTGTCTAATCCAATGGTCGACATATCGCTGTCACCAACTGTTGACAAGGATTGATGGAAAATTTCTTTTTTCAAATTCATTAAGAACGGAGAACATTAATTCAAGTACATGTGTAATTTAGTGAACGCAAGAAAACTGTTGAAAAACTTCTGTGCTCAAATTCATATTCAACTAGACCTGACAGCATCTTCAGTCTGAT